ACACTTCTCTACTATTAAGTATAGTTCTAGTAAATCTAGTGGGATAGATAACGTAGGGCAGTAGGGTTTGACGAAGGTTTAGGTTGCGCGCGAGGTCTCTGTAAATGTATCTAATACTAGTAGCTCTAGTATTAACTAAGGCCTTAAGATTACTTCTAGTGTTGCCTTGTTAGACTGTGCAGGGTATCACGATACAGCGTTTCTATGTGTCGGTTTGGGATTCAGACCAGAGTTCAGCAGAGATTTAGTGTATGCGCGGTCCTAGGGAGCGACTTATCCTCGGGACGAGGCTTTTCCCTTTCGGGACTAGTTGCGAGAGCGTCTCTCTTAAGATCCTAAGGATTAGGAAGATCTTAAGGTATTAGATCCTGCGGAGCGAGTACGGATCTAGTTATTTGTGCTATGCGATTAGATATGCTAAGCAGGTAAGGGGACACTGCAGTTGCTGGATATATGGCCTTTCTAGTTACATTTAAAGCAGCAGCCTTCCTTAATTCTCTTCTAGCGTTTAGCTGAGCTAGCGGGTGCGTAGTTCATTACGTCTATATTTATTACGTTAGGGTGTGCTACAGGGAGACGGCGTAGGCGGTCTAGTAGGAAGCGGAGGTTGTTGTTGTAAGTAGATATAAGATTAGCGTAGTCGTTTAGATCGTTAGGTAGGGCTTCTCTAACTATTGCGCGTTGTAATTCGTAGGACAGGGAGTTTTGGAGGGAAGCAATAAGACCGATCTCATTTAATCTAGTATTAGCGGCTAGTTGTTGGAACTCGGCGAAGTAGGAAGTAAAGCTGCGCTTCCCTTAACGTAATCCGCTTAGTTAGCTAAGTGCTGTTAGCTCTTTGTTTAGGTCTCCGTAGGTAGCTTTAAGGAAGGTAACAAGCTAGTCTATAGTATGGACGTCCTTGTCTATAAGCGGGTTAATAAGGGCTACAGCGTCCTTCTCTAGTTAAGAGTAGGCATATAGCAGGCGGGATCTCTCGTTCGGGTATCGGTCAGCGTTACCCTTGAGCTTGTACCTTAGCTTGCGGACGAAGGCAGGGAGGTCCTTTCGTCGGCTATTGAATAAAGGCGGGTTAGGCAGGCGGTCGGTTCGGGGCAGGTCCTTAAGGCTCGCAGTTAGCGGCGTCACAGGCTTTAAGCTACTTCTAGATGGCTCCTCGAAACGAACTTGCCTAGCTTTAGTGTCGGTACGGGTAAGAGCTGGGGTAGTAACAGGAGCAGACCTAGTCTTAATAGTCTCTATCTCTTAACGGAGCTCTAATATCTGTTGCGCGTGTCGATTCTCTTGCTTGGCTAGGTTAGCAAGGAGTGCTTCGTTGCTAGCCTTTAACGCAGCCGAGTCCGCTTGAATTGCGTTCAGCTGACGCAAGATTAGCTGCAACGCGTCAGGTTGTTCGTAGGTAGTTATAGTAGGTTGACGCAACGTAATGTCACGAGATGCTACGAGCACGTGTTTAAGAGCTTACTAGAAGCGTTAGTTGTGGCTACGTACGATATCTGGTGTAATACAAGACGTTGCGTAAGGAAACAGAATCAGCATGTACAGGCGGTGAGAAGTTATCGATGGGGGCCGTGCGCATGGCGCTAGGCCCGGCCGGCCAATCAGCAGAATCCTGGTGCTTGGCGGAGCACTCGGATTCTGTAGCGCGTTCAGTGTCAAGGGAACCACGGTGGTTACCGTGACAATCGAATACAACTCCAGTATACCTGTGCGATAGCTCCCTGAGCGTAGCCCCTTACACCTACTGCAACACCAAAAATCCTATCGTAGTTTTATTTTCCTGCAACAACAAAGACCTTATAAGGTTACCTAAGTTATTTAAGTTTACTAAGCAAGTTTGCTAGTTAAACTTGACTTGCTTGATGTTTTTATGTAGATAAACTTAACTTGCTTAACTTGGTGCCAAGCCAAGTTAAGCAAGCAAGGCTTGCAAGTTACTTGCTTGTTGCGAACTCTGCTCAACACTGTACTTGATGCCTGACTAGAAATGATGAGCGATGAAGTTCACTGCATGGGAGGTTGCGCACATTCATTTTTGAGACAGTAACATGAAGGTACTCATCAATCTTCTCAAACAGGCCTGGATCGTTCAACAACTTCCCGCCGAAATGAGAATAAGTGATCATTATAACGCACGAAGAGCGAAACTACGACCGTCGTCGATAATGCCTGTAAAGCGATACAGTATTGAGGTTTGCGACGAACGTAAGGTTGAACCAGGCTGAACGATGAAGTAGGCGCCTGATGACGTATAGCGGGGAAATCAGTATTGGGTCAGCCAAAGGGCGCTCGGGTCAAGGATAGAGCCTGAAGTTGGTTTCGCAAGCGACTGTGATGTAGTCGGTCTGATTCCTCTCTACTGTGCTCGTAATGTGATGACGGTCATCATTGTCGTGGCCGTCCTCGTAGACTGCTAATTGGAAGCCCCGCGGACTCCGCATATTATATATTATCAAAATCAAAATACGTTTTGCGCCAATCATATTAAGGCACTCGGAAGCGGCTGTTGTGCGCTTTGATTGGTTGGCCCTTGATTGAAGTACCAGCTGCTGTGGCAACCCCACATAAGATGAGCGATTCCGCCAGCCTCATGGCGGGCTATAATTTACAACGATGCTAACAGATTTTTAGGCTTAAGTAAGCGTACAATAGAGGTTGCAACAGCAGTATATACTTTATAGCAGATCTGTAGAGCTAAGGTTCATTTTCACTATTAAAATATGCCCTCTATAAATTAAGCAGGTGTCTAACGTTCATCCACCCGTAACGGAACAAGCACCGTAGCGGAACAAACCAGAGGTACTTTAACTTCAATACAATAGAAAGCCTGCGCACGTCTTATTTTTTACAATACTTCTCTTGAGTGCCATGCTAAGCCCGTTTCTGAACCCCTGACACCCTACCTGTACAACACTTACGTTCGTATAGACGCCTTCCCGACTGATTTCTGAAACGTACGTCTTCATGGCGAAAACGAGCTTTGCCCACTACAGGGCCGCCATACAGCTTATACTAACGTCGCAATCCATACAACGCCCTTATACAACCTTAAGAATCTGATAGCATTGCTTAGGATTTCTAGTTTGCCACAAGACTGCGGATAGCGCTCTGATCATGCGGGGCCACCATCCTGGTCGGTACTTCCAGCAGAAGCGATCGCCAATTTTGACTAGTGCAAGAATCGCCAACTTATGATTACGGTGTAACTTATAGTTACCGATTGTCAGATCTGTGGCTATGTAGCTGTGCGACGCTTTTGCCAATTGCTCTAGGACACCCAAAAACCAGCTCAGATTAGGAGCAGGGCTAATTTAGGTTTGAAGGCCCTGGTGTATAGCTCATGTCAACGAACACACCAGCATCAAAACCGCAATCAGCTCTAATACAGCCATTATACAACTTCAAGGTGCTGTGTAATGCACGACCATAGCTAACGTAAAAGCTTCCATGCCATAGAGATCAACCATCGCGCTGCTTTACAGCTCCGCAGACCCGCCGTTAATCCCGCGTCTAACCTACTACGTCCCCGTGCTCTCAAGCACATCGCGACTAATACATATACCTAACCGTAGTCGCATATCGCCTTAGCTCGTCGAAGGGAATACAATAAGTTAAGATACATCTAAGAATAGGGTTAGCGGGTCTTACAGCGGGCATGACAGGGGACAGAGACTAGCATGATACAGAATACTAAGATCTAAGTCTAGGCTTCAACAAGTGGACTGGGTGCTACTAGAAGGACGCCGTCATTGCAAGCACGTACAAAGATAGAAAGGGTCTGCACATCTTAAGGATACAGCTCTCGTACGGTCATACAGCGAATAGCTCCTTGCATAAGCACTGCAATTATTAGGGGCGTAGTAAGGTGCTTCAGGTTGATCTCTGAGGGTGATGGAGAGTTCGAATCGTCGATGCTGTTGAGCGCTTAGTGGGGTAGAGCAGAGATCTGATGGTAGGCACGCTCAGTAAGGTACAACGCTATCTAAGGCTGTATGCCATCCTGTCATCGATAATGACCATTATATCTCTTCGCATTGCCATCCAGTGCCGACGTTCATGGCAAGGTCATGGCTGGAGCGGATGAGCTATCCTCCCTGCTGGCGGTGGCAGCTCTAAATACCATCTCACATAGGCTGCACCTTATAATGATTTCTAAGCGAACTGCGGTACTTTCGCTATGCCGTTCTTGTACCACGTCGCGAATCCCACTTTCGCTGTACGCGCGATACAACACTATCATCTTCTAGGTATACATAACAATCGCTAGAATCAACACAGTATGTGAGGTAAATAAGAATGGATGTGTTGTTCCAACTCTTAGCGGGTCCATGGCTGCAAGCGATGGACAGATTGCTGTAAACGTCGAATCGAAAAAGCTCCTGAATACTTGGCGCATGATTTAATAGCATAACAATTACTAAAGGGTGTGCAGTCTAATTCCGCTCGAAGGAGAACTAGATATCTGCTATAGATCTGGGTCACATTTAGATAGAAGCAACGGATTCTGAGAGGGAGAGGATAGCAGAAAATCGACGCAATTTTTCAATGTTTTAGTTATCAATTTCCTAACTTGGCCCCACTCGAGGAGGCTTTCACTTCCGCTAGGGTCTCCACGTCTCACCCTGATATCGAAGGACAGAAAAAAGGGAACAAGCGGCTTGCTCTTGCCAGGAAGATACAGTGTGGCTGGTCGAGGATGCGGTGGTTCTTTAGTTCGTTGTGACGAGGGTTGCGTAGACCTTCTCATATACGACGGATATCGCTAATAGTGATCTCCTCTCGCGTAATTCGTACATCGTGACAAATACGTGCGTATATCAAAGACTTGGGGTACGTGCGTCGCAATCGAGCTATAACTTGTAGCAGCACATCGATCGTTAATTACTGTATAGTTGAACCACTTCACTGCTTGCAGGACTCCTGTGCGTTTAATCCGGAACACAATATCTAGACTATATCTTCGTGCGATTGCTTCCACAATCTCGTTCATTGGAGTCGCACTAGAGGGTTTCGGACTCAAGAGGGTCTTCGTCTTCGAAGTGGTACTTCCTCCTCTCAGCGGCGGGCCAGCATGTGATATCAAAGGTATTCCCTCCGAGTGATGGACCCCGATAGAATATGCTACGTTGTTTGCCGTACTCTCTACCGAAAATTCTCCACTTCAGGTCGTTAGGCAACGTTATTTGAGATGACATATCACTTACTTTTGTACCCCATCCCCAGCGATCAACACACTCTTTCCTCTTCCAATAGTTCGCCTCATCCTCGTTATCGAACCTTTGTACGAACTTCCCTTCAATGCCATGGACGCCTTTGATCTCGATACTGCTAGCCTTAGCATAGGAGACAATTTTGTACGGCCAGCAGACTTCTCTAGTATTCGATGATAGATATGGAATCGTCGTGGTTTGATCCAGACAGTCGCAAATGAAGTCTCCAAGAAGTGCGAGAACCAGACCCAGGTCCTTGACAGGGGAGTGCTCTTTCAGCAGCTTCGCCCGATCGAGAGCGTTTAGTGTGGCTAAGATTGCGATACCAATCATTGCGACAGTGTCCTGCCAGCGCTGACCATCGTCTATCATGAACCAAGGCCCTAGTTGTTGCGATTGAGTCCAGTGGGCGAAAGCTGACAATCGTAACCAGAGCCCAACAGCAAGCTCATCAGCCGGGAGTCGTCGCTTAGCCATGAGCGCGTTGATTCCTGTGAGCTGGTTCTCTATAACCTCCTGCATCCCGTACCCGGTAAAGTCGTTCGAGACATACATGCTGAAAATATCCTGGTTACGCTTGGAAGATTCGAGGCTATACTTCGTGACAAGCTCGGCCGTAGCTTCAGAGATTACGTAGGGCCAATCAGGGAACTCCTCGGCAGGCTTGCCATCATACCGCTTCTCTTCTTCAGCGGTCGGTTGGATTTCCTTTCCTGTTTCGATGTCTTCCGGGTCTACGCTGTACGCTGGTCTAGGGTACGTTACATACTTTAGCTGTAGGGTTGACGCCTCCTTGTGCATATAAGAGTCAGCATGTTGTAGAGCCATTTCAACTGCAAACATGCTTTTGTGTACACACATGTTCTGGCCCGCCAGTGAAGGGGGCTTCAGTGCTCTTCTCCCTGAATTCTTGTGGTACCGATGCGTGCTCTTGGTCGCGGTT